GGCGCTACCCCTAATCTATCACGTATATCATCGTTCCGAACTCGATCCCTTCTTGTATGACCGCAAATCCAACGCAACATACGCATTTCCGCGACACTTAGCCGTTGAACATGTCGTCTTTTTCGTGAGGCCAACATTCTCGCACCATACAACATAGCGGTCTAATCGCCATCCTATAAAACTTGCCTTTTAGCTTCGTGGTACCCTTTTGTCACATAGGACACCAGACGCTTGCCGCCACTTCATCCACCCTGCTTTGATTCTATGGCTAACATCTTCATCAATGTCCCCGTCCCTCTGTAGCATTGATCCTAAATATCGAAAGGTATCCTTCCTAGGCACTACTTGACCTTCCAAACTAACATCTTCCTCCTCCCGAGTAGTAGTGCGAAGTCACATCTCATATACTCGCTTTTAGTTCTTTGAGTCTAAAACCTTTGGACTCCAAAGTCTCCGCCATAACTCCGTTTTTCGATTCACTCATGTCCCGGCTTTCATCAACTAGCACTACATCATCCATGAAAAGCATACACCAAGGATGTCCCTTGTATGTCCCTTGTGACCTCATCCATCACTAAAGCAAACAAATAAGGGCTCAAAGTCGACCCTTGATGTAGTCCTATCCTAATCGGGAAGTCATCCGTGTCTCCATCACTTGTTCGAACTCTAGTCACAACATTGTTGTACATGTCCTTAATGAGCCCGGACGCATTGCCGTTGGGACTTTATGTTTGTCCAAAGCCCACCACATAACATTCCTTGGTATTTTATCATAAGCCTTCTCCAAGTCAATAAAAACCATGTGTATGTCCTTCTTCTTCTCCCTATACTGCTCCATAACTTGTCTTATTAAGAAAATGACTTCCATGGTTGACCTTCCGGGCATTAAACCAAATTGGTTCACCGAGACCCGCGTTATTGCTCTCAAGCGATGCTTGATAACTCTCTCCCATAGCTTCATAGTATGGCTCATCAACTTAATTCCCCGATAATTAGTACAACTTTGAATATCCCATTTATTCTTGTAGATCGGTACCAATATACTTCTCCTCCACTCATCAGGCATCTTGTTCGATCGAAAAATATGGTTGAACAGCTTGGTTAGCCATACTATAGCTATGTCCCCGAGACATCTCCACACCTCGATTGGGATACCATATGGTCCCATCGCCTTACCTCCTTTCATCCTTTTCAACGCCTCTCTGACCTCAGATTCTTGGATTCTCCGCACAAAGCGCCTATTGGTGTCATCAAAAGAGTCATCCAACTGAAAGGTTGTATCCATATTCTCACCATTGAACAATTTATCAAAATACTCTTGCCATCGATGTCGGATCTCATCCTCCTTTACCAAGAGATGCTCCCTTTCATCCTTAATGCACTTAACTTGGTTGAAGTCCCGTGTCTTTCTCTCATGAACCCTAGCCATCCTATAAATGTTCTTCTCTCCTTCCTTCGTACTCAAATGTTGGTAAAGATCCTCGTACGCTCTACCCTTTGCCACACTTACAGCTCGCTTTGCAGTCTTTTTTGCCACCTTGTACTTCTCTATGTTGTCCACACTCCTATCATGGTACAAGCGTCTATAGCATTCTTTCTTCTCCTTAATAGCCCTTTGGACTTCCTCGTTCCACCACCAAGTATCTTTAGCCTCGCCTCCACTTCCTTTGGTTACTCCACACACCTCTAAGGCCACCTTCCGTCGTCTTCTTCCTTCCAAGAGCCCTCTTTGATAACCTTTTCCCTAAATACCTCTGACGTCTCCCCTTTCAGTTTCCACCACTTTGTTCTTTGAATCTTAGCTTGTTTATCCCTACGGGCACGCACCTAAAAACGAAAATCTGCCAGCAAAAGCTTATGTTGAGAAACAACACACTCCCCTAGTATCACCTTGCAATCCAAGCATGCTCGTTTGTCCTTTCTTCTTCATGAGGACAAAGTCAATCACAGCTACTGATGTTGTCCGCCATCTTGAAGGTCACTAGATGAGATTCTCTCTTTCTAAAGAAAGTGTTGGCTATCATCATGTCAAAAGCTACCGCTGAAGTCCGTAACTTCCTCCCTCCCCGATTCCTACTACCATACCCAAAACCTCCATGAATCGCGCTTCGAAACTCAAGCTTGTAGTACCTACATGCCCATTAAGATCTTCTCCTATAAAAAGCTTCTCACTACTAGGTATAGCTCTAACCAAAGCCATCTAAGTCTTCCCAGAACTATCTCTTAGCACTCTCGCCGAGGCCTACTTGGGGGCATACGCACTAATTACGTTCAAGACCATATCACCAACGACAAGCTTGACTAAGATAATCCTATCTCCTTGCCTTCTCACTCCCACCACACCATTCTTGAGGCTCTTATCAATCAAAACTCCTACTCCATTTCTATTCATGACCGTCCTGTGTACCAAAGCTTGAAACCCAGATTGTCCACCTCCTTCGCTTTTTCCGACCCTTCCATTTAGTCTCTTAAACGCATAATATATTTACACGCCTCCTAGTCGCGGTATCAACTAATTCTCTTAACTTACCTGTAAGTGACCCTACATTCCAACTATCTAAACGGATCCTAGTTGGTTCGACTAGCTTCCTTACCCTTCACACCCGTCGACTCAGATGCGAAGACCCTTGCTCATTTTTCACTACACCCGGGCGCCGATGTAGCGCGCCACTAAGGAAGCGACGACCCGATCCTTGCTCACTTGACACCATGCCCAGATCACGACACGGCGCGTCACGGGGGTGACGACCCGGCCCTTGCCCATTTAACACCATATCCGGGTTCCGATATGGCGCGTCGCTAAGAGGGATACGCCCCAACGATTTTCTTTCGGGTTTCATCTCCATTAAAGTGGCTAAGTTTTTACATTGGCTCGCCACGCCTAACACAACCCTCCTCCTTTACCAGGGCTTGGGACCTGCTATGCTGGGACACCAAAGGCGCCCCACCATAGGCGGAGTTAACCCTCTTTCAAGACATGAAAACAAAACTGAATGTCACATGAGTTTTGATTCAGTGTAACTGCGTCAAACGTAACTGAAACATGCCCAACATAACAGAAAGTATCTCAGAGACAATTTTCCAATGCATGATACGGTCAGGTTAATTCAAGAAAGACAGCATCAATTGATCGTAATGAACTGAAACTTTCAAACATTTCTGCTAAACTGCACTAAGAACTTTTTTATAGTACCAGCTCCGATATAAACCAACAGTAGCAGACTCAAGATGATGGATTCTTACAATTTACAAGGTCTTGCTATTCAGAGGCACCTCATGCATCGGTGAACAATTGCTAGATATGACAACCTATAGTGTTCTGAAAAGAGAGAATATGCACAAAATTCATGACCAACTGATTCCAAAGGTTTACAAAGAGCACCAGATGTGAGTTTCAGCTATACCACAACTCAACAGAACGATTATCTTTCAAAAAGAAAGTCTGAAACAAAGTAACAAAGTAACACTAGATCATCAAGCTTGTATGCATATTTAGCAATTCCATCAGTGTGTGGTCTGTAACAACTCAAATCTCAAAGCATAAATGAACGATGGTTTTTCAAGGCCAAGTATACAATTTGCTCTATCGCATAAAAAATGGTCTCTGGCAATTTCTATAGGTAAAGACAAAGATTAAATAATTACAGCATGCCTAATGCTTCACAAACCACAAATGGTTAACTGAGTAAACAAATAGGTGCTATAAAGATGTAGGTTAACAGATATGCAAGGAGACAAGGAGTAGTTCAGTACTAGGGGCATAGACGCTTGAAAGTCAATATGCCAACATCTGTGCCCACAGATGTGACACCCACAATCTCAGAACCACTCACACATGGTTTGTTTACAGGTTTGGCCATGGGCATCACTGTCTCCAGATAGATGACCCTGACCTGCACCCATTCTGCACCTCCCTCTGTATTAACAATCCTCTACCACAAATAAAGTCCAGAATGCAGCCTACATAATGATGCAGCTCATGTCTTCTTCAGACATCAATTTTTTCCACCATTTTTTTTATACTAGTAAAACATTTGAAGTCCATACCTGTTAAAGATGTTCTTGCATCTAATCACAAACAACAACCACTTCCTGCTGAAACTACATTATGACTAGAATACTTTTGTATTTCCAGTAGTATGTTCTAAAAAGTCTGCCAGTGCTGCTTGATATGAAAGTAACTCTAAATCTCATATTGATTTTCAGGGAATTAAAGGATAATGGCATAGAGTACAGAGTTTTATCCAGGTAGCTGAATCATGCATTAAGCAAACAGTAAATGAAATATGGCTGCATATTACACTAAGATACTATTTGTTGTCTACATGGCAGGACAAATTCAACCACCACCACAACTGATCATGATCATATTGACTTGCGCACCATTTGCACTTAAACTGAACAGAAGATATACAACTTAACAGTACCAGCTTTGACAGGCAACCAGCAGCATACTCAAGAGTCAAGATGATGGGTCGTCTATTCTGCAGGATCTTACTTCAAAGTGGCACATCAGAGAACAGTAGGTCCTCCTAGGTGAGACAATCTAGAACAATCTGAAAAATAACATGAACAACAATCATAAGCAAATTCTGAATCAGGATTTACACTTTAATGAGCTATGTGCTAGTAATAATTTCAAAGATTTAACCACAGTAAAATCTAGGTAGAAGCTTCAGATTTGAGAGAAATTAAAAGTAACTTAATAGCATGGTAATGCTAGATCAACAGATTCATATGCGTATTTAACACTGCCACTAATACAACGACATGATCTTTAACAAGTCGAACCGAAGAACCAAGATTAGGTTTGGCTTTTGAGTGCCATATATTCTGTTTGCTATAATGCTTACACTGCATCAAGTAGTCATTCACAAGCCAGAACCAACTAATAACGAAGCAAACATATGGAAGCTGACAAAGAAGTAGAAATATAAGCAGGCGCTAGCATAATACCAGGAGTGTAGAAGCCCATGTAGGGTAGGACGCTTAAACCAGGGTTAATCTTGTGAACTTTCCTTCACTCGCCCTGGCTTGAGCTCCATCATGAATAATCCAACAAGTGTTCTGACGAAGATGACATCCACACCCTCTGCGAAGCCAAACACAGATGCTCCATCACTCGGATTTGCCATAGGCATCATTGTGTCCAGATCAATGACCCTGCACTGTACCCATTCTGCAGTTTCCTCTGAACTCACCCTTCTGGACCACAGATAAAGACTGGAATGCTCAATGCCAGCGAGCCCAAGAGAACACTCCATCATCATGAGGGTAACCCGATTGTTGTACACTGCCGATGGCGGGGGATTAACCAGAGACAAGCAATTCTTCCCCCAGTCATACTTGATAATTCCAGTATTCCCTGATAGCATGAAGTAGATTTCATCTCCAATAAGGGCACCACGCCCGTAGAGTTGACGGGCACCAATGCCTTGCCATGTGGCTTCCTCGCTCCATGCGCCTATCTCCGACGAATAAAATGTTGCTAACATTGAATTAGTTGAGCAGTCTCCGATCATTAAGACCACACAGAAGGGACCGTCGTGGCAGTCGAGGTGTTTGCAGCCAGCGGCAGCGCAGAACACCGCAGCAGCGTTGCAGATGTACCTTACTTCCAGCTGGGGCAGGCGATAGCGGACGCCCGTAACAGGGTCACAGACAAGGTAATTCACACGCCCCGTCTTCAACCATGCCGACGAGGACGCGGCCGTGGCGGCAATCGAGGGGCAGCCCACAACGGGCGTCGGGCGCCGGAAAAGGGAAGGCGGGCACTGCTCTGGTGGGGACGAGGCGGAAAGACCAGCCCCTGTTGATTTTCGGGTCCGTGTCGACGAGGCCGAGGAGAGGAGGGGTTCCGTGGAAGGCGCGGTAGCGGCGGACAAAGGCAGGGTCAGAGATGGTGTGGAGCCATGGCTTGCAGACGAGGGCCGCGCGGAAGAGGCACTCGGGCTCGTCCGGCGGGAGACGGAGGAGGATCTCAGAGATGACGTCGCTGACCAGCTCCCGCGGCGGCGGCGCCATGGCGCACTCGTGGTTGGTTGGTGGACGGAGAGGATTTGGAATGGGGAATTGGCCGATTGGAGAAGACTGAAGGAGAAGGCGAAGTGTGACGGAGAATGGGAGACTGGGCTTTTTTTTTTGAAGCAGTTTACGCTGACACACTGGGCATGCATGAGGCGTCTCAGCAATCGGCCCATTTCTATTTCTAGTCTCCGGGCTCCGGTCCACAAACTGATGCATGACAACGAGACCTCGTTTAGATTGCAAATTTTTGCAATCTAGACACTGTAGAATGTTTTATTTGTATTTGACAAATTTTATCCGATCATGGATTAACTAGACTCAAAAGATTCGTCTCGTGATTTACAACCAAACTGTGCAATTAGTTACTTTTTTTATCTACATTTAATGCTCCATACATACGTCCAAAAATTGATGTGATGGAGAGAGAGTAAAAAAACTTAGAACTTTAAGGCAATCTAAACAAGGCCCAATTCATAAAGGCTTGGACACAAAACGTGTGCAGATTGAATCCCCAGATTGGAATGTGCTCAAGTAGCCATCCTGATACTTCGTCACCAAATATTTACACGGGTGGTAATTGGAAAATGATAAAGAAAAATAAAGGCATGATTTTCATGTAACTTTTTTTTCACCCCCCACTCTAGCTTTAGCACATCTTCCATGTTTTCAGGCAGGAGGAGAAAATAACAAAATCTGAGCACTCAATTCAATAGCAACAGCTGAACACAAGAGCTGCTTCAATGTTTGGCATGGTGTTTTTACATGTTCAGCACAATAGGTGCTTTCTGATTACAAAGATCAAAAGATGTATAATTTTCTAACAAAACTTTCACAGCTGCCTTTGTGCAGTCTGAATCAATAAAATTCAGGTGGGGAGCCCCCCCCCCTCTCTCTCTCTCTAGTAAAACATGAGTTCCGTACATGACCATACCTGTTAAAAGTTGTCCTTCATATATTCACGAGGACGGTCTTGTGCTGAAACAAAACTAAAACTTTAATCTTCACATTTGTCATCCCCGTAACGGCGTCACAGACAAGGTAATGCTCACACCCATTCTCAAACTTCCGGATCAGGGCGGCAGTCGAGGGGGTACGCAGAGACGTTGCGCCACGCAGAGATGGTGTCGAACACCGGAATGGGGAAGGAGAAGGCGGGCATTGCTGTGGTGGCGATGAAGCGGGGATCCCGGCCGGTTAGTGGGTCCACCTCGATGAGCCAGAGGAGGGGAGGGGCTCCGTGGAAGGCGCGGTACCGGTGGAGGAAGGCGGGGTCGGAGATGGTGCGGAGCCACGGCTTGCAGGCGAGGGCCGCGCGGAAGAGCCACTTGGGCTCGTCCGGCGGGAGGCGGAGGAGGATCTCGGGGATGACGTCGTCGACCAGCTCCCGTGCCGGCGCCGCCATGGCGTGGAGTCAGTGATCGGCGGAGCAAACCGACTCGGGGCAGAAGATTGGGGATTTTTGGAACGGGGGATTCGCCGATTGGAAAAAGAGGCCAAGTTGGTTAGTTCGGTCCCTCGTCCGGACCTGATTGAAGGCCAGATTTTTTTTTAGCAACGATTGAAGGCCTCTGATGACTGGCATCTAGCAATCGGCCCATTTTCCTCAAAAAAGAAAGCAAACGGCCCACACAGACGATGCAAGGCCATAATTCCATCTCCCGAAGAGACTTCGGCACAAAACGTATGCAGGATTGAACCAAACAAAAGAAGACATGAATCCAAAGTGAACAACTTTCAACGCTCGTCCAAACTCCAAACCTATAATGTTGGAGTTGGTAGCGCAGCATGTGGCAAACTAAAGTATTCAGCTTTAGTTCAACATGAAACTAAGTTGAGCATTAACCAGCTTCCACTGTTACCAAAGCTCATAAGGTTACCTTTTTCCCTCAACAAAAGCAAGTTTTACACAATGTCATACAAGCTGCCACTTGCTCACCAAAATTTTACTCGGATGGAAACGATAATGATAGGACATAGGCGTCCGTCCGATCCGAACACTGTGCGCCCACTCCGCCTCTGCTGTCGCGCACCCCATCCCACGCCGCTCGCTCGCTCCCGCCCATCGCGCGTGCCGCCCGCCCGCCTGACCAAGGCCGGTGCTGATGGCTGGCTGGTGGTGCTCGCTCGCGCACCATCGCTGGTGTTGGTGTCGGTGGTGCTCGCGAGCTGCCACTCGTCGCCGGCTCCAACGCCAACGGTTGGAATCGACACCATGTGCAAAACTATATTTCAAGTGTTTTAGATGTTTCATAGCTATGTTGCTAGTTTTTTATATGGATGTTGCAAAAGTAGATCAGGATGTTGCATATGTTGTAATGATTCCACACATACTACCTCTGTCCCTAAAAGAATGTAACTATGGATTGCGTGCCAGTTTGAGTGCTTCATGTTTGACCAAGTTTCTAGTAAATAATATTCACATCTATGGCTCCAAATTAATTTATTATAAAAATACATTTCGTAATTAATCTAATGATATTTATTTTATATTATAAATATTTATACCTTTTTATCTGTAATTGGTCAAGGTGATATACTAAAATATGATAATGTTCTAGAATTGTATTCTTTTAGGGACGGAGGGAGTATGTTGAGCTTCTGTTTCTAATGTTTTATCTATTTTTTCAGACGTATATTATAAATGTATTTATATGAATGTTATGGATGTTTCGTACATACTCACCCGTTCCACTTTTACCAGGTGCGATGAGTCTAAATGCAGATACCAAGACGTCCGCTGATGCCTCGTTCTTTCATTGGCTCTCTCCATGCATGCTTCCTATTTTATTGGCCACCGCCCATTTTGTATGCATACATGCATTAACTTGCTACATTAATTACATATTAAAGCACTGAGCACGTCTGCTAAAACGGTCTAATAAAAAAACACGAGCACGCTTGGTATACAGAATGGAGGAAGTACGTTGTAAATGTTTTATCTAAATGTTGCGTATGTTTACATTGGTTTCAAGTGTTTTTGCAAGTGTTTCATAGGTATATTTCAAGTGTTTTATGTGTCTTCAGACATACGTTACAAGTATTTCATCCGGATGTTTCAAAAGTAGATCAGGTGTTGCATCTCCCTCATCGTCTTCTCCTACCTCGCCTCGGTGTCTCTTCCTTCTCCCAGCGCCGGCTGTGGCATCCGGTACGACGCCACGATCAAGGAACACCGCGGGTCCTTCCGAACCAGAGGTGTAGGCGGGCGCTGCCCCTCCCCCTTTTCTCGATGTTGGTGATGTTCAGACGATGTGGGCCCCGCGTGGGGCGCATGAAATGGAGTGTGGCGTGGACGTACGGACGCTAGCGCTGCCAGGATGGAAAAAATGAGAAAAAAGTTTCCACGCCAACTACTTTCGTTTCAAACCCCTTTTAGCTTGAAAGTTGGAACCTCCATGCTGCGTCAACTAGTGCATTCGGCTGATGAAAGGCTGTTGCCAAAAGGGGCATTACAGATAGCAGGACCAATATGGGTTTCAGGCAGAAGGAAAACCAGACATGAGTGAGCGCTATGTTGAATAACTACGGCACACATTACAGTGGACTCAGTCCTCATGGCAGAAGCTGCTGCACTACTACTTTGCAGCCTCAATAGTTCAGCAACTTGGATTCACCAATGCAACATTCTTCACGGACAACCAATCAAAGGCGAACTTCTATAACTCCTCAAGCTTCTCCAACCCTCCGCACTGGAAGATAAAAAGCCTCACAGCAGGCTTCCTAAAAACCTTGGAGGGAATTCAGTTCAGAGTTCACAAAATTCAAAGAAGCCTAAATACCACAGCACACTCCTTAGCACATCAGGCTTACAGGTCCACTGCTGCCGCTATAAGTTTCAGTTCCACTTCTACTCTACACAGCACTTCAGATCCATGCCCTCCTCGGGATGCATGCTTTTCTGTAACAAGAAGCCTTTTAGCCTCTAAGTGTAACATGCTCTTGAAATTTAATGAAGCCAGTTATCAAAAAAAAAAAAGTTGAATAACTACATAAGAAACAAGTGCTTCATAAGACAGCGACGTGATGCAGCTCATGTCACGCTGAGCCATCTTTTCCAAGTTTTTTTATTATCATAAATCGTCAGGATTCCTGGGTTTCATACCTGCCTGTCAGAAGATGTTCTTGGTCTATTTAATAATGAAGATGGTTTTGGGCTGAGACGACGCTTGGATCTTTGTACTTCCAGTTGCATGCTCGGACAGTATCGGTAAGTCTTTGCTAACAATGACAAACTACAGTAATCTGAAAAGATACCGCGGACAGAATTCATAACCAACTGCTCCAATCAATGTTTACACTTTGATGAGCCATATACTATACTGAATCAAAAGTTTAAATGTTTAAGCATACTGTGAACCCTTGGGCACTGTAACCATTTAGGCACAGATAAGTATTCTGGCAATCTATACATATGTGAAAATAGCGATTAAATGCTTACAGTATGCATAATTGTTCACAAACCAGAAACAATTTATTGAGAAGGCACGTAGGCCCCGTTCGCTTCGCTGAAAAACAAGCCGAAACACTGTTCCGGCTGAAAAAACAAGCTGAAAAAGACGGATTATAAGAGAAGCGAACATGGCTGGTAGTATACACCAGGCTATTCTAGCTTCCTTATCAACCCTAACTTGAGTTCAAAATGAATATACAAACATCTGCACCATTCACCTTCCTCGACCACAGATAAAAGGATGAATACAGCCTACATCTTCGTGCAGCTCTTGCCACTTTGAGTTGCAACTTTTGCAAATTTTTTACTAGTAAAACATCTGAATTCCATACTTAAAAAAAAAGACGTACCCGGTGCAGAGAGCTTCCGCTCTGTGCGGGGTCTAGGGAAGGATGTCAGTGGCAAGCCTTACCGTCACCTGTGCAATGCGAGGAGACCGCGACTCGAACCCGGGACCTTCCGGTCACAGGCGGTAAGACTCTACCGCTTGCACCAGGCCCGCCCTTCTGAATTCCATACCTGCTAACAGATATTCTTCTATCTACTCAAACAGCAACAGTTTTCTTCTGAAACTAAATTATGACTAGAATCTTTGTGTTTTCCAGTGGTAAGTATAAAAAGGTCAGACACTGCTATATTTTTTTTTGTTTCATAAAGTTCAGACTGTCAACTATATAGTACAGTCTATACTAGTAGTCTGGCCCATAAGGCCCATGACCCAAGTGCCTACATGTATCTGAATACTACAGTCTGGAAGATTCGATTTTGGTTTATTCTGCTAAACTTAGCATGGCATCCGAGCTAGGTCTTCCGCCGCCGCCGCTGCCGCCGCCATCGGTCTAGTCGTCACCGCCGGTGAAGGGTCCTCGGTCATGGTGCCTCTCGTTTTTTTCGTCACCGGGCCAAATCCTCTGCAACCGAGGCCGCCGTCCTCAGGTGGCCCGTCCCCGCGCCGTCCGCGCGAACCTTCGTCGTCTACCCGTGCTGCCGTCGCCGCATCGTACCTGCGCGCCCATCCGCCCGTGAAGTCCGCACGGTCCACGCGTTTGTCTGCCCTGCCTGCTCCTGCACATCGTCCGACCGGTTCGTGCAGAGTTGCCGGCTTGTTTTCTGTGCGTGCCTCCTGCCCCTAAGAAGCTAGTTGTTCGTGCCTGCTGCCGTTGTTGCTGCTTGGCTGTCAGAACTGAAAATGGGTTCATCCGCTGCATCTAGCTCCACTATGGCACCTATTACCTTTGCTGCCCCTGCTCTTGATATCAAATTGACTGGTCAGAATTATAGAGAGTGGGCTTATTCCTTCAAAATGCTTCTTGGTTCTGCCGGTGCCGTCTCACTTCACATCTTATAGATTCCCCGCCTGATGCTAGTGACAAAGATGCAAAGGCTTGGAGGGATGTTGATGACCGAGTAATGGCTATTCTAGCCATGAATGTTGATCCAACTATAAGATATTGTCTGGAGGATCTCAGTACAGCTAAAGAAATGTGGGATTTTCTAAAGGAGCGGTATCAGCAAAGTAGCTCTGCACTTCGCTATTCCATTCTCAAACAACTTCATCATTTACAGCAACAAGATCTGTCGGTTGAAGACTATCATGCTGCTTTTATGAAGCTATCTAGTCAGTTAGACTCAATGGTGCCAAAGCCTAATTCAGCTTGCAAGGAGTGTGGTGTCAGGGATAAGTATGAGCAGCAAAATAAGATATTTCACTTTATGATGGGCCTTCGGTCCGCGTTGGAGCCTACTTGTGCTCAAATCCTTGGACGCTCCAGTCTTCCTACCATGGCTGAAGCACTTTCAGCTGTCCTTGCTGAGGAGACAAGGCTTCACACTATAGATGCTGCTCCTCTAGTTCCTCAACACTCTGTCCTAGCAGCACCTCCTCAGTATGTTGTCATGGATAGCTCTCTTGTTTCTAAAGAGAAACCTAAAGAGAAACCAAAATGCAAGCA